GGGCTAAGCCCCGGGTGTTTCAAATGTCTGGCTCCGCCTCTAGTTTGAAAATGGTTTATCTTTTCCCCACCTGGAAGCAACATGAGGCAGCTAATGTATGGGATGTTACCAAAAGAAGGCGTCTAGTCTAGATAGTTCTCTTCCATCTCCAAATATCTGTTGGTGTGCCCCAGACATTTTCATTCCGGTAAGTTCTAAATATGTTCATATCACTCTCAGTGATAAACAATTGTTTTTTCCTTTCCTTTTAGTTTCACTGCCGCTTCTATTGTGAATATCTAAAAACAAAACTAATAACAACGGGCGTTACTGCAGGTTCACTATGACCAAAACTCCAGACTCGCAGTAAAACATCATGCCAGTGTTACAAGATATAGTTCAAGTTCAGCAGAGAATGATTTAAATATGTGTGTAAAATGGACTGTCAGAATTACCCCATGAAAATGTGATGAATGTTAACTTTTTATAAAGAAGAAAAACACAGTCTTTTCATTTAACTATAGATATTTAAGTTAATTAAAAATTGAACCTAACTCTATGCCAGCTTCTAGCTTTGCTCGACAGTGTGTAGAACAAACCTGATGGCACGAATTCCCAGAAAACTTAAAAGTTAACCAAACACATCCATAGTTTCAGGGCTGTGAGCAAAGACAAAGCTGACGGAGCCCAAGAGCTCAGCCCACAGCTGTAAATTGGTGTGGTTCTTACAGTGAACACTGCAGTCTTTCCTCTGTATGTTTTACTTATAAACTGATTTATTGTGAGCAGCACAAATTTTATTGAAGCACACTGGTCACTACAGTCACAGATCTTTAACAGTCTCATTATTTTTCTTTCCTTGTTTCGTAGAGAATTTCTCCAAAACATCTGCTGATCACAGTTATTGACTGTCTGGTATAATTAGTAGCTTTGTTTGAAATTGTGCAGGATGTGTGCGTCATTGTTTCACAGAAAAGCACTATCAAGATGTAGTGATAGCCATGTCGGCCAGCAGATGTCACTGTGGAGATGGCTTTCAAATTGTTTTGAAGCCTCTTCACATTCTGGCAAAAATGCTTCAAATGTTTCGCCTGGGTCGTTTGGACTCCTTTTATGGTAAAGTTCCTGGAAGGGAATGTACCAAGTGTAGTAAGAAGGAGGGGTGGAGTTAGGTGAGGTTAAAGAACCTGTTGATTTAAAACATCTGCAGAATTGGGGCATTATTAATAATGTTCCCACTGTTAACTCATTGTTATTATTATATTTGAATGACAAATTGAACATTGTTATTAATTTGTTTAATCCTTAATTGGTATTTAATTGCTGTTTCAACAAGTGGGAAGAGCCACTGGCTAATTAATGAGGGGTTGCAACTTCTCTCAGGATTAGCGTTGGCAATTCATGATGGAGAGTGGACCATAGTGTTATGACCCAAGATCATGTGGGTCATATATGCATGTGTTTATGTGTGACTCCTCCCACCAGAGGATATGGTTGTGGGTTTTTCTCTCTCCTCCCTCCCATGTGTGTACATGAGATGTTGTTGTTTTTTCTGTTGAGGTTGGGCTAGGGACCTTTTGTTAGTTATTTTGGCATAGCTCACTGCCGAAGTCAATAAACAGCTGCATAGCATTTGCAATTGCTCAGAACTTTGGCTGTTTCTTGGGTGGAGTTGGAGTGGGGTGTCACATTTGTTGTTATCCCCAGGTTACCACTAGCCCAAGGACGTAACAATATAGTCAGGGACCCTCATTAAAGGGATTTAGCCTGATGCAGAGCTATTTCTATTTAGTTTAGGATTATCTTTAGTGATAACAGAAATGCAATGTTTCAGGTGATTGAATCATTTGGAACGATTATTTTGGAAAAAGAATGCATTTTTTGGAACAGTATAACACGGGGATCTGGTGGCCAAATAAATGTGATTTTAAACTATTACACTCAAACTGGAATGTTTTCATGTGTCTTGTCTTTTCTTCTAACTTTTTGTGTTGGTTTATAGTCTGGTTTGTATGGAAGGATATTTTCTTTTAACCAATCAGTATTTGTATGGGCTGTGTCTGTACATTTAAGTATTTTTATTAAGACTGTTCAACAGTAGTGGGCCTGAGCCGATGTTGTCTACATGTGAGTACATGTAGATTGTTTTTCTGCTGCTCACGTGCATAATTTACCTTGATTATTTAAAAAATTGAAACTGTAAAAAAAAGATTTAAAATAAAATGGTTTATTTGTTTTTTAAACAAATATTTTTTTTAGTTTTTTAGTTTTGAAATATCAACACTTAGAATTTCAGTTTCAAATGACTTTTTTTTTAAATGAATAAAACTTTTGACCCTGATTTAGCTCCATAACAGCCGACATTTTGCAGATTCCAAAACTGCAACTTTCATTACTCGCTGACTAAAATTCACCAAACCAGCAGCAAAAGAAGACCAAAACTACACTTCATGTTTAAAAAAACATAATGAATTCCCTCTTTCTTTTAAACTCTAGCTTCCACCATGATGAAATCCCAGTTCCTGCACAGCTATATCTCTGTGTGCTTCAAGACAGGTTTCTCACCAAAAATCTCTATTTTCTGGCTTATTTGCTTGCTTATTATGCACCAGTCTACAGTATTATAAAATTTGATGCCTTCATTTTCAATTCAGTTTGATTGCTGAGTCTGTGGGTCAGGTGTCTGTGTAAGCAGAGATTGAAGGCTTCTCCCTGTCGCTTTCTGTTGTCTCATTTACTACAAAACTGGGCCAAAAAGACCCTTGATTGGCTCACAGGCCTGACAGGTTCAGCCATAAGGCTCTCTCACCTGAGTGGAAACATAAATTCAGATGTGGAATTCATGGGATGTGCTCATGAATAAGGTGTCTAAGGAAACTGACATATAGATTGGTGCAGCATCCTGGTCTGATACCTGAGGAGTTTGCCCTTGAAGTAAGTGCCACCTGCTGCATGTGAATGATTAAATAGATGACACACTAAAGTCATGCCTCTGGAGTGGAGTAGCATAATAATCCTGTCATATTGTGGGTGATGGTTGTTACATGAACAGCCCACATTGCAGCAAAGCCTGAAGCAGAACCTGTCTGGAATCTGAGTCAGAGGCAGCAGTGAGCACAAGGTGAGACTTGGACACAACAAAAGAAAGTGGAAGAAATAAGACTGCTTCAAAATAACTGCAAGTTCTAACACACAAACTGCAGATATAAAGAGATATACTTTAATACATTTGGCAAATGCAATCAGCAGTCGTATAACAGAAACACAGAGCTGCTCCGAGAATATCTAAGCCTTAATCTTTGCACAGCTGTCATCCACCACCCACCCAGCCCTTAGACACACAGACAATTAGGACAACCTCCCCATACAAACGAACCTGTACCTGGGTTACATTTCCCACTGTTGCATAAAAATATCTATTTCTTTTTCTTTCTTTTTTTAGCTGAAGAAACCATTTCCTTCCGTTTTAAAAGCAGAATCTTTTCCTTTTCTTGCAGGAAGGTGAATTCTGCAGTTTGGCCACCTTCCAGCAATGTTGGGGAAGATTTTAGCTGCCAACCAGTTCAGGGACCTCCTTTCTCATCTTTGTTGTGTTTTATTATGGCACGTCTTTGCGTCTGAGATGTACTATACAGTCGTGGCTTTAACTTTCTGAATTAAGCAGAAATTGTTTTAAAAATGAGACCTAGTCAAAATTTGAATTGCTATGCAGGTGATACAGAGATTTATTTATATATTATTTATAAAGCCAGATGACACAAATATAAATGACAAATATATAGATATAGTTAGTTATATGTTAATTATCATAGGTGTGCTCTTTTCATGTTTTCTGTCACAAATGAAAATGCAAATCAGTGAGTTGAATGACAGAGTCGGTCATACACATTAAAAGTCCCCAGCTGATTGGTTTTAGTTGTGTCATTCCTACGTGGGGAAAAAAAAGAGTATTGCAGTTTCCATAGCAACAGAGAAAGTGATGAAGAGTGGGTTGGTGTTGGGTGGCAGAGCGGCAGCGAGGTAGAGCAAGAAATAAGAAGAGGAAAAACAGAGTTTGAGACTGAAGCACTACCTGAGGTCAGAGTGGAACTACGCAGAAGAAGAAAAGAAAGTGTAAACGCTGAGATGGACGAGGACAGACAGCCTGTTGTCTTTATTTCTCTGTCGTGTACACATTCATTCATACGTCAGCCCTGCTTCCCAGGTGGAGGGGCAAACACGCCAGCTGCCTGACTATCTCCTCCCATCATTCCCCCTCCCCCTCCACCCATCTCCTTCTATAGCCGGATAAGGCAACTACAAAGCAGGCTGACTCGCCATTACAGAACACGAGATTTGAAGATTGCATCCTGGCATTTCTAATCAGATGCAAGGGGGGATTATCTCGAGGTCTCCTCCATTTTGTGCACAGCTGGGAGCTGCTGAGGAAAAACGGAGAAGAAAAGGATCGGATGTGCGTGAATGAAGTGGAGTTAGACAGAGAGAGGGAAAGGGGTCACCTGTGGATATGAGGAGGGCTTTCTAAGGAACTGCAACCATCACCCAACACACAAAAGGAAGAGGACAGTGTCAGCAGCAAGTAGATCACTGTAAAGGTAAGCTGGTTGAAGAAAAGGACCTAACCATCTTTTCTTCTGATACAGGCACTGCTGTATGAATGGGTTCTACATGTATGCACTTCTTACCACGTCTGTCTGTGCATCATCTTCATGATTCTGTTTCCAATAGAGACAAGGGTGTGCAAAAGGATCCGATCTGGTTCCAGGTGGTTCAGTTCACTAGAGTAATTCCAGCAGCCTGATGTGTTTTACTTCTTTTCCTTGAATTAGCCAATATCTGAAAATTTCCCATGGGCTATAATTGGAACAATCTAAATCTGTACCACCGCTGACAGTAGGGTTCCTGTGACTTGTATTACAGTGCTTTAAAAAAACACGTTCTCATATTAAAGAGATCCAGTCAGCTATTACTGAGACAAAAATAAAGCTGCTACTATTTTAAAATAATCACTATTTAAGGAAGAATAGTGAGTTAAAAAGAAGTATAGAAGTGGAATAAAAATGGGGTTGTCGTTCACTAGCATTGTAACCTCACCTTACACCTTGATTTTGTGTAAGCGGCAAAGAGCCAGTGAACTTGAGCCTGTAACAGCTACAGAGGACGTGCTTGAAATGTCTGGATCTCAGTGGTGTGCAGTGACTTTTATACAGGCAAAGTTGATTGCCAAATTATATAATAATACAAAACAATATGACCTCCATGTTGTTCTCCAATGTGTCCATCAGTGTTAATGTTGGATAGAAAGCAGGTGTAGAAAAATGTTTATATGAATGGGAGAATGAAGCAGGCTCCATAAAGTGCTTCGAGTCCTCCAGCAGAGTAGAAAACTCCTATTTAAAAAAAACAAAAAACAGCCATTTAGCTGAATGATAGAGTGATTATGCATGTGTCCTTTAAATGTTCTATATGTTTGCATAAATATGGATACGAGGGCTTTCACGTTACATTGATCTGGAGAATTCTCACAGATCTGTACAGATACCATGCACTGCAGAGTAGATATCATCCACAAATAGCAGCAGAACATGAACTCCCTCAACAAGATGTACAATATAACAAATTAAAAACACCACCATAAACTAATGAAGAGGCTCACCTTGCACAGAGCTGAATGCCGCAGGTCTTTGGATAGAGAGAAGGGATGAAAGCAGAGGCAGGAAGTAACCAAGGACAAATTCTCCGGTTTTTATTCGTTTTTTACGGTTTTTATTATTATGAATTTGCCTTCAAACACCAAACCTTTCTGAACCTATATGTGGAGAACAATAAGAGATAAAAGACAACCCTCTTGGTGTATCCATCACCAGTAGATTTACACTACAAGTCAAAAATGTGGACATGCCTTCTCATTCAATGGCCTTCTCTCCATGAGCTTCATGAGGTCGTCACCTGAAATGGTTTTCCAGCAGTCTTGAAGGAGTTCAGAGATGCTGAGCACTTGTTGGTCCTTTTGCCTTCACTCTGCGCTCCATCTCATCCCAAACCATCTCTACTAAGTTTAGGTCAGGTGACTGTGGAGGCCAAGCCATCTGCCGCAGCACTCCACTCTCCTTGTTGGAAAAATAGCCCTCACACAGCCTGGAGGTGTGTTTGGGGTCATTGTGCTGTTGAAAAATAAATGAAGGTCCAACTAAACACAAAGGCTGGTGACTCGGATGAATTATCCTCAGCGGCAGAGGTGACTCTTGCTCTTCCATTCCCGGGGCGTCCTTGTGTGAGTCGGTTTCTTCATAGCACTTGATGGTTTTTGCAGTTCTTGCCAAAATATTAATTCTAACAACCGTCAAATAGGGCTGTCAGCTGTTTACCAACCTGACTTCTGCACGACACAACTCATGGTCCCGACTCCATTAAGAAGGCAATAAATTCCACCAATGAACCCTGACAGGCTCACAAGTATTGAAAGTCAAGAACTATTAAACAGGAAAGTGTGTCCAAACTTTTGACTGGGTGTGTACAAACAAAATTTATGGTTTTATATTATTTATTGCTCTATACTCAAGGGTGAAAGTTGGCTGGAATGACTTGGAAAGACATTCAAGGTGCCAGTGTTAATATGCTTTCTGTTTATTCAACACTTTTTTTTAGCCCTAAAGTGATTATTTTACCGTGTCCTGGATAAGACGGAGCAATTCACCCGACCCCTATAAAAAGAATTGAATCAAGGGACCAGTCTATCCTGCCTGAATAGGGTTTATTCAATTAAACTGAATTGAGTAGAATTTCTAAACTATTTAAGGGGGGAAAGGTCGCACAATAATAGCGTGAAAACAGAAAAACTTCCAACAGTCAGACCCCCCTCGCTTTTCACAGGAAGAAACATCAGGCAGAACCAGACTTAAGAATCGGTGGCCATCTGCTGCAACTGGTTAGGGTTAAAGGGAGGATGAGGCCCTATCCTGGAGCCGGTTCTAGGGAGGGAGCTCGATGATCAGGCTCTACACTGTAGTGAAGCGAGAGCTGAGTGTGAAAGTGAAGCTGTCAGTTTGCTGGTCAAGCAGCAGAAAATAGCTTTTCTGAAAGGTGGCTGGATTGATGAATGGTTCTCATCAGATGACCGTTATGGAGATAATATAACCAAGTAACCTCACACAGAGCAGAAATACTGGGAGCCTGCCTTGTGGATCTAATCTAAGGAAGAGTTGGAGTGGTCTATTACTTTGCGGCAGGCAGTGGCAAAAGTGGCCAGAGGCCGTTGCCTTGGCAATCCCTCCCAGGTTACCAAGTCTAGCTTTAGGGGATGAAAACTAATTTCTCTAATGAGGAAATATTCCAAGCTTGAAAATACCACTAGATATGAGAAATGAGCGAGAAACACTATTTATTCTATAGTTATAACCAGTGTTGGGTAAGTTACTTTAAAAAAGTAATTCATTACTAATTACTTAGTCAATATTGTATTTCAAATACTTATCTAATTACTGTGTCTGAAAAGTAACTTCATTACTAAATAAGTAATTTAACCAAATACTTCTTAGAATCCCTCTAAACCTCGAGTGGCAGACGATAGAAATTAAACTCTTTAAATAATGAATAAAGACGGAGACTCTGCAGTACGCAGCGGCAGCATCTCTTCCACAGTGTAGCCTGCAGTCGTTTTTAAGCTCACCTTCAGACGCTTTCTGCGCTGCTGAAGTAAAATCAGGTTTTGCTGCCTAGCGGGAGTTGCCGCGGTGTTATCCATGGATGATGAACAAGGATCGCTCAGAAGTGTTCGTCTATGCTCCGTGTCAGGCGCTTCAGTAGAGGACTCGTGCTATGAACAGCAGCCCATAGTTTTTACATATTACTGTAATGTTCTTGTCTGCTCGTTTCAGAAAAGTGAAGAGACGGGAATATGTCCACCTCAAAAAACAGCCACTCACTTCAGTCCGACAGCTTCCGCTGTAGAAAACGACTGTGCAGCAAACCGGTGTGAAATGACGCGCAGCTGCACTACAGCCATGTTAAAGCAGCAGAGTTTACTTCTACGTTTAGAAGACAAATGATTGAAATCAAATATTCAGCCAGTTTAATTATTTTACCATGTAACGCAAGTACATTGTAAGTAACTGTAATTGAAATACCTAAAAATGAACAGCAATCAGTTACTCTACTCTTTCAGTGGAAAAGTAACTTAATTGCAGTAACGCGTTACACCCAACACTG